GTCCATTCGGTCCGAGGTACTTAGCAGTTCCTGGCCGATCAGCAGGTGCTGCACATAGCTTGCGATGCAACCGCCGGCCCAGAAGATGCTATCCTTGGACGCGAAAAAGGATCCTTCAGTCTTCCCTCCCTGAAACAATCCGTGGTGGAAGTGGAATACAGACTGTTCATATAGAGAAATTCAGTCTTCCTGAAACCATCATGGTTGTTACGTGGAATACAGACGTCGTTCATAGAGGAATTCAGACTGTTCTTTCGGGGCCTTACTTCCACGTAACCAGGTTTCTTGGATGGAGGGTAACAAAAATTCAAACTTCCCCAGAAGGCGGATTCACCCACAGGGAAAAAGGTGTGATATACAGTATTCCAATAAGCCACACCAGGTATCAAGTTCCCGCAAGGCAAAGGCATCGTAGGAGAAGCCGTACATGGAGAAGAAACCTGGTGTCTGTTGTGTCTCACGTCTCATGAAATTGAGGAAACCAAAAAAACAAAACCACCAACTACATCCAACTACTGCTACCCGGTACCCTAATCACACTGTATATATGACCTAGAACAACTACATCTCCTCGTGCTCCATTCCCATACCTTCGGGCAAGAAATCCGTAAAGCGTAAATAGCGTAGCAACTCAGGTGGGAAAAGAAGCGACTGAAAAGCTTGTAGTTCCATTGGCGGAGTTTCGCCATTTCCTCCTCCACGCGCTGCTCCTTCAAAACCTCAGAGCCGCGCAAGCTGCGCAAGCTCAGCGCGCGAGCGCGCGGCATGTAAGCAGGAAGGTTAAGCTCAACGCGCAGTGAGGCCTACGATGGAGAGAATAAACCTTCAGCCCCCTCAAGAATCCCGCGATAGTTCAGCCTCGTGCTTCACCCCCCCTTTTAGGCCAGAAACTCCTGGGAGGAATTTGAGGCAGGAAATTCCACAGCATCACTGAAAAATAAGTGAGTGAATCCCTGACCAAAAAAAGTGAAAAGTTCTATTGTTCTGGAAAGAATGTGGTGAACTCAGAGATGACTTTTGTGATCAACCTCGCAAGGCCACTCACCCGTCACCCAAAGCGAAAAAACCGGAAGACGAGGCCGGGCGAAGGCTTCCGGGAGACATCTCGGGCCGGGGGCTGCAAAATGGCTCCAGCCCATCGCTTCAATTCGATCAAGTCCATCTGAGTCAGATACAGATGTACCGGCACCCACAGCAGAGCCAAGGTCGTCACTGAGGTCAAGTCCGCCATGGCAGCTGCACAACACGCGCGCAAAAGGAAACAAACGCGCGTCTGGCCGGTCAGAAAGGAGTTGTGGCTCCGCAGGTCGTATTGGTGGGCTCAATTTGAAAGGTTTGGAAGCTGCGCATCCGTTTCATTCGTTCATTCTGGCCTATCGATCTTTCGAACGACACATTGACATAGGTTTTGTGTGAGAATACTGAGAGTTTGTGTTATGAACTAGAAGGATCAATCATGAATAAGTCTTCATGTGTCCTGACCCAGCCATTCTCCCAACATGAGGGTCCTTCTTTTCTTTAAGTGAACAACGGGATGACGGAAGGCCTATGTACAGGAGAGACAAAAGCAAAGGCCTGGTAAGGCTGGATAGTTTGGAACTGAAATACTACAGGGGGTTCAGAGTAGGTGGCACTGGCAACCCAAAATGTCTTTTATATGGGGGTCCATATAAACCACCCACCTTGGGGATTGTGCCATCTACTCTCAATCCACTATAAGTGGAAGAGCTGTTTCCTGGACGGGTGCTAAAAGACCCAGCACCGATAGTGCCAAGTCCAAGATCGAAACTGAGTATGTAGGTGCAACAATCCAAAGATTCTCAGACACTCGTGGAATGTCCAGCACTGGGAGAAGCTGAAATTGATGGAAATGCGGTTTTTGTGTCATCCTTCAAACCCTCCCAAACTGCCCTCCACCAGAAGCCTCCACCAGGTCTCAGAGCGCGGAAAAAACCGATGGGAGTTGCAAACCGGGTCTGGGAGAGAGCGGGGGTCTCTTTCAGGTCTCCGGGTTCCTCCGACTTCAGTCCGGACTTCTCGATGTTCACTCCGGGTTCGAGCGCCGATGGAGCGGCCTCCCACTCGAGGACGAGAAGCGAGCCATCGGTCCGGTGGATGGCACCGTGTTCGCCGTCTCTCCACTTCCACCACCCGAAGCCCGAAACACGCGGCAACGGACAACACCCTCTTCAGTGTGGGGGCACCTTCTCCATCGAACCGCAGGGGGAGGGGAAGAGTGTGGACCCAGTTCTTCCCAAATCCGTTGTGTGGCAAGATTCTGAAGGCACCCATTTAAAAAAATTCTGGAATCGGACAAGGCGGCGGCCACCCCCAAGGTGGCCCATGGGGGGGTCCACTTGGATTTCCAGCTCCGGAGTGGACCTGGGCGCTTTCACCGCGGACGGAGCTCCAAGAAGCCCCAAAGCGCTCTTCGTAGCGTGCGCTGCGTACGGCCCCAAAAAGACCAAACAAAAACCTGCCAAGTACAAAGAGTCCCTTGGAGTAGTAGTTGGTGAGGTGAACCTGCCTCCTTCTTCCAGTTCTGCAGGATGACTTCCGAATGCCTTTCCCAGCCGAGCTGTCGGTGCAAGGGCGAGACATCCGTCGGTGACGGATTCTTTTATTCTCATCCATCACCGATTATATATATAGTGGAATAAAGGATATATAGTGGATAAATAAAGGAGATATTCTATATATGGTATGGATAATGTATATATATATATATACGTATAATTGTACAATATATATATATATTAGAATGAAGGAATCCTGTAAGACCAAGCTATGAAAATGAACAAACATTAACGTTCAGAACCGATGTTTGCTTCGCACGCTGCCATCCACCAGTCGCGCGGTGCGTCGAGGTCCCGTCGACGACGCACAACGACCGTCGTCTCTGCAAGCGGAGACGAGCGAGCGGTGGTTGGCTGGCGGAGAGAGCTGAAGACTGAGAGGGTGTCCAAGTCCACTGCTTTTTTGCAGGTGTTTGGCCATGGTTGGGTCAGTAGGCGCAAGTAGGCATGGTTTGGTCTCGGTTTGGTTCAGTGTCTCAAAGGTGACTGCCACATGCCGCGACCGTGAACTCAAAATGAGAATGGTCTCACAGTCTCACCCCCACTTACTGTGTGATGATCCTCCAGTTGAAGCTCTCTTTGCAATGACAGTCGAACAGTCCTCGGAGAAATTCTGAAGTTCGTCGCCACTTTGGAGGAAAAGAACAAGAAAAACACGTCAAGAGTCCAAAGGAATCAGTTGCCGTATCAGTTGCCGTGTCCAAACCAGGCCCTCTCACCCAAACCGCTCTCACCCAAACCCCTCACCCTACCGATCCGATCCCTCGGTGGGACCACTGGGTGGCCAAGCTCCAAGAGAAATTCCGTGTCATCCGCGACAGATGAAGAGCTCAAGGTCTGAACCCTCAGGAGGGGTCATCCGTGTTCTTGAACAAGAACTGGGATCAAACGCTCATGGCTGGCGGTTTCACTACGTAGCTGATGGAGTGGTAGGGGGGTCGTTTTGCGAAAGACATGAGTGTTGATTGTGCCATCAAGTCCATCGAGACTCTTGGACTCGTCGGTTTGAAGTCTTCTTCAACTTCTGGGCTTCTAGACCAAGTTTTTCAGGGGTTGCAGTTTCAGAGTACTTGCCTAAAGTGGATGGGGAGAAGCATTTGACAGTCTGCATGAAAAGGGCTGAACTGACCACTACAACTGTTCGTCACTGGCTGAACCCATCCGTTTGTATTGCGTGACTTGGCGATCGAGGAAGCAGGGTCTGTCAAGCATGTTTGCTTGAGATACGAGATATCGATGGGCAACTTCTTCAGCAGCACCTGGTACCTGGTAACAACTTCCTCACCCTCTCATCCATGGGAAAATGCGGTGGATCGAAGCTTTCGCTGGTGAGTGCTGCAGCGTCTTCTGGCATGAATGCCAGTCCCATGTCTGTGGTTCGGTACTTTGGGGCCTCAACAAACACCTGGTAACAGAGAATGGCTGTGGGTCAAACCCCTAGTTGACCTCCTGTAATCCAACCAAAATAAATTACCACTCAGCTTGAGTACGGACTGTTTCATCACCACGCCTTTTCTCGTGCCGTGGTAACGGATACAGCAAGTACACCTATGTACACCTTTAGGTGTTGTATAAGCGGGGTAGGTGTGTTGATTAGCATGGAAAGTGGATCAATTGTATCCGATTATGATGTACGTGAAGCACTCCAAGGGAGATTGTTAGTTCTTCTGTGGCCTGTTAGCCTGCTGTGTTGTTCTTGATGTTGTTTCTGTTGTCTTGTTGTGCAACATATGCCTCCTCGGGCTTGTTGCTCCACAGGAACAGTTGAACTACAACTTGCGTCTGCACACGGCGATGATACGTATCAAATTTGGATGAGAGTCTGCGATGTTGTCCCATTGCTTGCGACGGGCTTTGTTACCAAAAGTAACACATCGGCGTGAATAGGATTACAGAATAGCTCGGGATGAGTGTGGGCTCCAGCTGCGCAACGTCCGTGGGCCTATCATGGTGAAATGGCATGGTGGTGTTCACATCATGTTCAGTCGCAGTATGTGCTAAGAATACGTGTGCAAGTATGGCATGGCAAAATCCAAGTTGCAACCAGCTCATGTCTTCTTATGAGAGGGGCACGGTTTTTGGTTGGCATGGTATTCTAAATATCGAGCAATGTGACGAAAAGCTTGATAGATTGCTTATGATCGATCCTTCATGTCATGTCAACATCTTTAAAAAAAAGAAGGATGGGACAGGTAAGCCTCTACTGAACTCTACTTGTGCCCTGTGAGGACCCCTGGTCATGTCGTACTGTCGTGCTGAAACAGCTGTTTGGCCCCCTCTCACCTCTGGTCCCGCACGTGCGACCGGTAAGTCTAGGGTGGATTCTCGGGGCGTCCACTGCGTCACCCCGCCCTGGCTACGTCAGCAAGAAGGCGTGCGACGTGCAACGCCATTGCCACGCACGAAAGCGCTCTCGGACTCGTTTTCGACTCAAGCGCTCCTGTGAGTGTCGCATTCTCCGAGACAGCCATGATCCGTTGCAACCTGGTGCGTGTCCAAGACAGCCATACAGTCGTCGCCTTAGGAGAATCACCAGAATCATGCTCGGCAGTGCCTTCTGAAGCGTACAATGGCCGCTTCGCTGGTCTCTTTAGCTCCAAGAGAGATCTCTACCTTCTGGTTGCAAGCTCCCAAATATGCCCCCGGGACTGCCTTGCTTTCTGTTTCTGACAAAGCTTGCTCGATCATCGGCAGCGATCAACTTGGTGTATGCAACTCTCACATTTGACCTCACGCATCACCTTGTCACCAACCAATCCAGCTGGTGCGGCGCTTGAGCTGCCACTCCACCAGCGGGGTGTCACAGCTCAGGAAGTTGAGGGCTGTGTCAGCTGCGGAAGTTGAGCGCTTCTTTGGAGAAGAGGCCACTCCGAGTGTGGAGCTTCAAGGGATTCCCTCCGGCGGATGCTTCACGGAGTGTTTGCAGTCACACGGTGAGTTCCTCGCGCACGGGCTATCCAGAGTTCAGTCACAAAACTGACCCTTGATCCTTGGGTAGCTCTTCAACCACAACCAATTGGATTTGAGAACGCAAACCACATTCACTCTGCGGAAGTTGAGGAGTCAAGGGCACCTTTAAGGCACCTTTGTTCTAGAAGATTCTTCAACAACTGGCAGTGCCTTTCCGTGATCTGTTCAGTTTCAAGCCTCCTAAATATCAAAAGACATATAAGCCGTAACCCTCCAAGCCGAGTAGATCAGACATGCCAAAAAGACGAACCCCACCTTCACCCGTCGCTCGGGACGAACTCCCCACCAGCAGTCCCCGTCGCTCTCTCGAACTCCCGACGTGTCCACGGAGGTCTGGAACTCGCCGATGGAGGTGCTACCTGCTTCGTTCGTTGAACCGGGGGGCCGTGCGCTCCACCCGCGAACGGGCGACCCGGCGGACGGGAGCCGAAGCTCGGACGTTCACCCAAACCCCTCCTTCGGTTCCACCGGGGGGACGCCCGAGCGAGCTGAGGAAGCCAGGAAGGGGTTGGCACCCCATGCAGAACAAGAAAAGCGAACGAAAAACCAACCAGGTGAGGCCACGTGGCTTCTGGGTATCTCAGTTGAATGTCTTCTTCACACTAGCTAGCGGACAAGTACAGGAAAGGTTTTGAAGATCTCTAGGGGTTTGTGGCACTATCTTTGGGGAAGCCATGAGCGTCGTCTTCCGTAAATGGACCACGTAAACTATCTGTAGATCACCATGTCTATTTGGGGGTCCTCTGTTCTACCTTACACCATGGACAAGTCTCCCTCTACGCTGGGTCTTTCGAAGCTGAAACCATCCCTGATGGATAGCTCCTTCACAACAGGATCAGCTAGATAGGTAGCAAGGTCCTATGTAGGCTATCCCTGGTGAAGCAGGGTTTTGCCAATTCACAGTACTGTACTATACCCTCCCTCCATCAAACAACTCAAAAGTGGTAAACCTCTTTTGTAGAGATGTAGAGCCGATGAGTTTTGTCTGACGCGTTCTGCCAAGGAGAACGCTTGGTGCATGTCTTAAAGATTCGATGATGCAAATACAGCGGTGGCAAGTTCACAACAACTGGGCTGTATTGAGTGACCTGAGCACTAAAGAATGCTATACGCTCCCTTGCAAAGACACCCATGGATTTCAAAAACCTCCTTTCAATATCATTGAACTGCTCTTATCAGCATCTCGCTCATTCATTAGAACCAATTGACAGTGTTTGGGTTTGGGAGCGTGCTTTTCCTGCCAACCTTCAAAGAAGCTCCAGTGGTGCGTTTCTGAAGCGTCTTTAATCGCAAGGACCAGCTCGGTTGTCATGGCTACTCGGCTACTTGTGTCAAATCCAACCATGTTTCGGATCAAAAAACCTTAAAGCGAAAAGAACATTTAAAAAAATATGATCCCGGCAAGAGACCCCAAACAGTGTGTAAGGTCTGTAAAGGGGTCTGAACCCCGACCTGTGTGCCCACACTGTTTTGGGAATCAAAACGTGCCGTCGGGTCGAGGTCGGCCTTGTTTGGGTCCCCCCAGCGAAGAGACCGGCGCGATGCGAACGGTTGGAGGGCGATGGCGCGATGAACAGAGGACAGTTCGCAGAGTTCCAAGCAGGAAACACACGGAGAATCGAACAAGAACAATAAGAAACTTCTATCGATTCTATCTGTATCGAGGCTCCAAGAAGGACGCACACCCAGAATCGATCGCAAAACTTTAAAAAAGATGATGAATCTTGAATTCGATCGAGGCTCCTAGCAATCCCTGGATTCCCAACCGACATCATCCCACTTCTACCGAAGCCAGGCTGCTGTTGTGCCATCTGGACGACCAATGAGTCGAACTCATGGATCCTGGATCGATTCAAGTCTGTTTGATTTGCGGCTCCTTTCGGATCAGAATCTTCCCGGGTTTCACCCAGGAGACCGGGAAAAGTCTCTCAGAAAACCCTCCGCAAAGACCGCCCAACACCACCACCACCGGATGTGGAGTGGATGCGATCCTCACCGGTTTGTCGCGGATGGGGCGACGATCGATTCCACTGACGGGCTGTCATGTGTCGCGGGAGGTGGCACCGGATGGCGATCGATTCCACTGCCAGAAGTGCCATCTGTCCGACGCATCTGTGGCACCGGTAGTTCCGCAAGTTGTGGTCGATACTCTAGGGGGGCCAAGTGAAGAGCTTTGGACATCCTGAATGACTTAGAGGTAAGTCAGGAATCCCATCCCCTGGGAGTCAAAGACTATAAAAAGAATGGTCTTTAAGGGAACTGAAAGGAAACTTCCTTTTCTCCAGCCGGTCAAAATATAGTCGAACTGGACTTCTACGGCATCTGTTTCAAGAATTGCAGTTGGACTTGTGCTGCAAACCGACTGTTGCAGTAATCACTATAGAGCAACTGACACCTAGAGTCCTATGGGATGCGACGCCGTATCATGAAATGTTTTGGGTCGTAGTCGTTGCCCCTAAAAGAGGAGTGGGGTTCTAGAGGAAAAGCCAAAAAGTACGGACACTGGATATATGGATTTGAGCTATTTCCTCACACCAGCGATTCGCGCTCAAGGTGCATGAGAGATTAATCCTGGGGTGCTGGGTCTACTGGCCCAATCGAAATCACACCTTTGTACCTTTAACACCTTTAACATGTTTCTCAACAAACATACCTGATCGAGTGATTTATGTTGAGAGGATGCTCTATCAGCTATGTCCTTTATTATGTTTTTAAATATATGTTTTAAACTTGGGGAATGCTGATTGAACCTCATGCATACCTCATACATATCTCCATCAACCACCCAAGGCTATTAAACCATGTATACACTGTAAACCCCGGCTGTTGGCATCCTACAAAAGAAAGCCAGCCGCGGCTGTTGGCACGCACCCAGCGTGACAACGAGAGCGAGCCGAACGGCGTGACGAAGGACCCCCTCCTCTGGACAGAGTTTTCACCAGATTCGGCTTGGACAGCGACACCGTGGAGCGCAGGCGCCGTGCCTGCCAACCGCGGAAGGCGACACGTGAGCAAGGCGGCGAAAAATGATATATAAGTAGAAGCTAGGTGGCTGCGTAACCAGTGGGTCAGGTGGATCTTGTTGTTGGAATTTGGGCCATTTTTCATGCTTTGTTGGAAAAATTTGTTTGGGCCAACGCTGCTTTCATTAGGACATTGGTGTGATCATCAAAAAGGGGGCGTTCGTGTCCAATCCCTTTCGTGAAGGGAGCATTGTCAGCCCAAATGCACGGTTCGTCCAAGGCCGGAGGAGGGAACTGATCCATGGGCCTTGAGAGGTTCAAAAAAAATAGAACCAGGTGCTCATCCGCAGTGCCTTCCCAAGGGGAGTTCCAGTTTGGCCATCCAATCCATGGGCCGAACTCGGTTCGGCGTTCGCCTCCGCTTTGGCTTCCAGCAGCACATGCGACGGAGTGCTGGCTTCATCTTGGAGCAAGTAGGGGCCTCGATGGACCCAGAACGACATCCGAACCTGCCGGGGTTTGGGGGGGAAGCTACGAACATTGGGACTAGCAATCAAACCTTGGAGCGATCACATCGTCTTTTTGGAGTTCAAAAACAGCGTGCTTCGTATGAAATCAAAAGCAAATAAATAAATAAATAAAACATCGTGTACCAGGAGTGAGAAGCAGGAGTGTGGGCTTCCTCCATGAGTCGTTCGCACGTCTGCGATTGGGTCCTGTGGGTCCTGTGGGTCATGGTAGTTGGACACCCTGGTTCAACTGATTCCTTGATTCCTTGGTGTTTGGGATGTCAACCTCCCCCTGTTTGGTGGGAGAGGTTTTGACTCACAGCTACTTGAAGTCTCTCTCCCACTCACAGCCACATGGAAGTGCGAAACAAAGACTGTCCAAAGAGGAAAATGGTCTTGCAAGAATTTCTTTGTCCACTTCCATGCTAGTGAGTCAGAGCATTCTCTTTAGTGTTGGTCCTTTTGTTTCAGAGCGCTCTTGGTGAAGAGGTGAGGAGGACAAAAAGCCCTCCGGACTCATGGACTAAACTTGCCCAAAAAAGGTTTAAGTAGAATTTATGATGAATAAATAACCCCTGCCAGACATGGATTGTAAAGCCCCTGAAGAGGCCTGGGGGGTTGATTAATCAAGATTCTACAGGATCCTAAGGGGGGACGTGTTAGTGGGACCTTGCTACAGTAGCTTCTTGCTACTAGTAGCGATGGCCTCCAACCTACTAGCTTGTAAGATACTGTAGGGTTCTTTTGGTGTTTTACAACGACACAGCTTTGGTTCGATCCTGAGCTAGACGGCCACGGCCACATGGGAACCCTGCATGGCATCCTTTTTCCGAAGACCACGACTTCTCCGAAGACCAAACAGGGGGTGCGGTGCCATCCGCGTCCATGGTTCGGTGAGTGGGACAACACAGGGCAACGCAGGGCCTTAACAAATCTACGGTCTGGATGTAGAATGTTGATAAACAAGACCCAAAACCTCATGTCCTTGTCAAAGCTCTGAAAGGTCTGGGTGTTTTTTTGTGTTTTTCATCCACATGATTTCAATGAGACACCTAGTCGAGTTACATCTCAAGCCCACAAAAACTGGAGCTTGCCGCATCCGGAGCTTGCGCTTGGTTTCGTTCTGAGCCGTTCGCACTGAAACATGACTCAACGGCGACGCTCCAAAAAACGCCTTGGAACCACGCTTAGGGATTCCCAGGTCGAAAGGACACACCCACCTGCCGACGTTCGTCGCCAGTGAAAACGCACTCCACATGCCACCGGACGGACGTTCCCACCATCTCCCCCATCCACACGAAAGCAGGACTGCCGAGACGGGCGGAAGCCATGACCAATGTCCAGTTCCAATGGGTTAACATGCTGTTAGTCAAATGCTTTCAAATATCATATCCCTTCGAACTTAGTGCAAGACCCCTTCGAACTTACCCCCTTTTGCTTCACCAAGACCATCACTCCGAGGTCACCGGCCGGCCGTGCAGGCGGCTTTCTCAGCCGCGGCCACCGCTGCATCGCGCAGCCGCCAATCGGCTTCAGTCCAGGCGCCGAAGGGCATCCTGCCGTTCGGCTGACGGACGAAGGTCTTTCAGGTGTGGCGTGGCTTGAGTGGCTTGTGGCAGGTAGATGGATCATGTTGTAGTATTGCTAGAACATATCATTAGCCCAATGCGGAGGAAGAAGAGGAGGAGCACTCCCACCGCTCGGAGTGGATGATATGGTCTTCACCGCTTAGTCATGCACTCCCACCATCCTCCCGCCCACTGAGTGTGTTCATCGACTTTTGGATCAAGGTTGTGCTGGTCGCTGAGTGTCTGATATTCAAACAATGCTTCGGCAATTGGCCAAGAAATGGATCGATTTCTCCAGGAAGGCTGGGTGTCCTCACCAACTCATCCTTGAGTCATCAAAGTGCTGAAAAAATGAGCCCTCTTCCAGAGCTTGCTGTCACAGCACTGCTGTCCCACCTTTTAAAAGATGCTTTGGGGATGCTGGATGTGATGAACATCAAGACTGTCAATGAAGACTACCCTGTGAATGCCAGGCGCGGTCACCAGGCTGGATCGGTTCTAGAACCCCCGACACCCACAAAAAGGCATGGACTCCAGCACCCAAATGCAAGGACTCCTTTCCAAACTGTGAATTCCTCTAAGCGAAAAGACTCCTATAGATCCTCTTAGATCATTAATTAATTAGACTCTCTTATAGGTCAATGGACTCTCTCATGTTAGGACACCTATATAGATCCTCTTCTCTGAAGTCTGTTTTGGATCCCTTCCCTGCATGCCAACGTGGATCCCGCGGCGGTTTCGTCGTCCCCCAATCGGCTCCCCTGTCCTGAGAAGAGGCGATCGTCATGCGGACGAAATCCCCCAGCCGGCGAGACGGGTTGGTCCGGGATTCGGGAAACGACCAAGCAGAAGACGTCGAACGGAAACTGTGAGTGAGTGAGTCAATTTTGAGAGTCAGTGAGTCAGAAAAGTCAGACACTTGACCTTTTTGCAGGATGGTGAGTGAGTGAGTCTAAAGAGGTTGGGCTCATGTTCAGGTGATGTGATGTGTTCATTCTTTTCAAAAGGCACATTAGAGGCTCCGCTAGTCTTGGAGAGTCGAAACTACGACTGACAAGCAAGTCTTCTAGCAGCCATGAAGGTGGAGCTGCCTTCCCACGGTCCGCTAACTCTCCACCATCGAAACATGTGATCCATCGAAACAGCTCCAATCTCCGTGCCTTTGAGCCCACAGCGGCAGCGCCGGCCAGTGGCCAGTTCAGCCAGTCGGACGGGTTTTGGAAAAACCACCTGCACCTTGCGAAGGTCGGGCAAATCCACCGAGCAGTAGTAACAATCCCGGTGCAAATCATTGCAGTGGTTCCCCACCATCCGTTCCCCACCAAAGTGACAGACTCTTACGAACGCAGGACATTCATCTTCCTTTTCCGGGGCCCGAGCACCGGAACAAAAGAACGTCCCAAAAAACCGGTTCGGACGGCGACGGGCCCGACACCAAAAAGACACCAAAGAAGCCGACCTCTTCTCACCGAGAAAAGGATGAGACCGGCTATGAATGGTGCAAAAGAAAGAAATACAAACCTGGTTCTTCAAAGTGACCTTGTCATCTCCCAGTTTGAGGTCACAAAAAGGGCCTGGAAAAGGTCACTATCAGGGTCTCCAAAGAGGTCACTTTGAAGAAGTTGGAAAATAGTTTTCTTCATTCTAAGAAGTCTTTTGCACACCGCGTCTCATCACCCGATGATCGAATGCGACCACTTTTATTGGCCCAACAGGCGGAGTCTCTTCGCGACTCAGGGGTTTGGGGCTGTTTGGTTCAACCCAAGAAGTGACCTCTTGTAATACCTAGATCTTCCAACTGTGCAAAATCTATACATTTTAGTTGATTTAATGGATGAAAAGGCAGAAATTCTGCACAGTTGGAAGATCCAGGTATGAGCCAAGACTGAGGTTCTTGGCAGCCAAGAACCTCTTGAAGTAAGATGAAGTAAGCGAGGAACGCGGTTCTTCCACACTTGCCAGAGTTTTTACGTTCGAACCTCGCGAATGGCTTGGTTGCATCGTTTGGCGTGATTTTTTCAGGAGAGAGGGCGTACATGGGTGGAAGCGTCGGAAGGCGTCGCCAGGCCGGTCGAAGTGGTGCTGCGGTGACGGGCAGCCAGGTTCGTCTGATGAAGAAATTTCTCGCAGTCTTTGCAGGGCCTTTTTCATATGAAGGCCCACTCACCAGCGACGAAGTGGAAGTCAAAGTAAGACCCTAAGTCAGACCATCAGCCAGACACTCCCTGGTAAGTGGCAACTATTGAAGGGAGAGTTCGAAACCACCTTGGATATGATAAAAGGGCTTCTCGGGCTTCCCATACATTTTCTCCTTAGTGCAGATGTCTTTCTGTATACAATAGTAGAACCATGGCTAGTACTCGTCTTCCAAAGCCCGTTCTGGGTCGCTCCACCAATAGAAGTCCCCCCTTTCCAGGACAAAGTCGCATGACGCATGTCTGGGCTCCATCGGTCGATGCGTGCACTCTCAGACGGTGCACTCTCCGAGAAAGAAAAGGCTGTAAGACCCGAAAGAGGAGATGTTTCTTTCGGAGGAGAGCTGAACCTGGTTGCTGGCTTGGACGAGCAAGCGAAGATGGGCCGTGATTACTGTAAAGAAGCGTATCGCCATTGGCTGAAAAAAAAAGGGGGAGAGCTCTATGCCCCGCATCATCAGCCCTAACTAGATGTTTCACGCATGCGCTGCGCTGCGCTTCAGTGCAACGATCGAAGCATGTTCAGAGAAATGGAAAACACCCACCGAAACCTGGGCTACCCACAATCTCTGTAGTGCAAGATTCGCTCCTCAGCCCTCTTTTCTCCAAAGGCTCTGAACACCTCCCCCCCGCAGCTCAGGTGACGTCCGCCTGCGGTGGGTGCAGGTCATCTTGGACCTGGTGGAGGTCGAGGTGGTGTTTTTTCATGCGTGTTCAGTGGCTAAGGGGCTCCAAAAGAAGAACCGTCGGCGTCGCTCCGATGTTTCTTAGTCCGGGTTCAGCACCTGGTGGCGCACTGTGCCGTTGTGCATCCGGAGGACAGAACACCAGCTCTTTGCACTTCAGCAGACGGGCGGAATGGCAAAATGCATCCAAATCCTGCACAGTTTGGACCAAAGGAAATAGGCATCGAACTCCTTTTTCAAATCTCAGTCCATTCACTTACTCACTTCTTGGGGAACGTCGACTTCGTCCTTCCTTCTCTCCTGAAACGGTTTTCCTTGCATAAAACTGAATGTCCTTCTTTTTCTTGTTGATACATCTTGCCTTTCCTTTTTGTGATGTTTCTGCCTAGTTTGGAGGTGTTTAGTTTGGTTTTGCAGGAGCAAAGTGCTGTTCATGGACAGTCAGCTTCCTACTCCCCAAATGTCCCACATGATGCTTGTTCCAAAAGAAGCCCAGGTGCACAGCTGAAAGCACAGCGCAAAGGCCTTTTGAAAGGTTTCGAGCCAAAGTGCACACCTGCAGAAGGCTGTCTCTAAAGTGCCCTCGAGCTGAGGAAAAAAGTGCTCTCGGAGTGCGAGAACGGTGAAACCTGCGATGCAGGGAAACGATGGAACCTGGCTGAAGAAAGAAGGTAATTCGACTACTGAGTTTGCTTCGCTGAGAGCACAACAAGTTGTTGAAAAAAATCAAGTTGTTTCTGTTCAAATTACAGTACTGTTTTGGGAGATTGCCACGCGCAGTTCAACACTGTTGCTAACCACATACAAAGTGGAATGGAATGGTCCTTCAAACGCTTGCAAGCAAGATGTCGTCATTGAAAGGGATGAATGTTCCAACCAACAGCGAGGAACTGAACGGCCGGTGGGACAAAGGCCAGCCTTCAGAACTGACGTTGATATCAATTCATATCTTCTGATTGCAGAGAGAATTCTTCACATAGATCTATCATCTCTCATGGAGTTCAGAATAGGTATTTAGGGTCTAACTGGCTGCGTCCAGGCGTTGACTGGAGCCACTTCAATCAACCTATGGCAGCAATTTGCTGGCCCCCGGCGTCTTCCTGCACCGAAGAAAAGAGCTGCGCCCGGCTGCGCCCCTGCTTTGGGGGCGGTCGAGTGGAGGCTGTTGTCGGACATAATAACATGAAACGAGTGCGTCTCCCCTTACAATCGCTTTCTCCCCTCCCCAAACCAATGCAGAGAAGCCCAGCCAACTGGGTTTCACCGACTTTTCCTGTTACTTTTTTCTTTGGGGGGGCGGGTCTTCTTACATTCTTCCTCCAAAGCTCCTCCTCACCAATCGGAGTACCCCCTCCCGCTCTCGCAAATCGATCTCTTGATCGAATGATTTGGGGCAGTTTGAATCGACCCTAAGTCAAAACCTAAGGTCAGATCGCTTCAAATAACAAGTCAGTCGGTTCAAATCAACCGACTGAACCTATCGATCTACTCGGTGCCGTTCGGGTCCGGTCTTAGAACCTCCGGAGTTAGTGGATGCTCCGGACGTCCGAAGTCCTTCCGACCCTCTCCGTGAGCTTCCGTGGTGGGCATCGACCCGATCGGAGAAGCAGCGAACACACCAATCCCTAAGAAGAAAAGCACCAACAAGGTGAACGCCTTCTATAGGTCTTTGTTTCAGATATAAAATCATTCCAAAAAAGAGCCTTCATCCCAGCCAGCGCATCCAAAAGCCTTACGTTTCACCGAACATTGGACCTAAAATGAGATTCGTGGGCACGTCAAGGCATCATGTAGATCAATGTAGATGAAAATCAGGCCATGTAGTAAAAAGGATTAAAAAGGGTTGTCTGTTTCATACCGGCTTCGATCTTGCTCCATCCCTTCGTTTTCCTTCCTCGCCCCCTCCTCACCCTCCGACCGACTCCCTCTCTCCTCTCGCGGAGTCCAAACCAGCAGCACGGTCGACCGGAGCGGCTCTGGGTGGGGCGGTGTGAAGAACCATCGATCCATCGAAGCCTTCTGATCCTTCTTGTGAACATGGAAGTGTCGCAAAGAAGGAAGCTTGGGGAAAAGAAAGTCCTCTTGTTCTCAATTGGGACCGCGTTACACAAATTCAGATGAAATCAACTCCGAAGAGAAAAGAAGACCGGGATTAGGACACGTCGTAGTGCGTTTTGCGTGCTTTCTTTGGATGTGCAAAGAGAAACACGGTGTGTTGTCAATCAATAAGCAGATTGAGCAGCCCACATCGATCGTCCTCGCAGTGACTTGGGTCCGTGAAAAAAAGGCGCCAAGCATCGGCAATTCCAGAGATCTCACAGCTGAAAACAACTACCAGGAGTCACAAAGGATGTTCTGGGCACCCCTAGCAACTAGCCTCCAAGCTCGGCAACCCGACTTAGAACTAAATACTGGAGACTACTGGTAGTTGTACAGGAACCATTGCCTCATCATGGACTGGTAGCCTACACCGCTTGTGCAGTAGTACAGCTGGAATATTTGTGATGACGACCAAAATGGTGGACCCCTTGGATCATCTTGGATCTACTCACCGCTGCAATCTACTCTTCACTGAAAAACTCATCACCCCACCCAGCCGGAGTGGTTCAGCCCGCAGGCAAAAAATAAGCGCCTGCGCTGCGCGACTGCTTTTCGAAGCGAGCTGCTCACGGCTTCGCGTGCTCGCAGATGCCCCACTCTTCCTTTTGGCACTCGATTTGATCCTTTTCCACGAAGCACCAGTCGCCCCAGGGGTTCTTCGAGGGATTTCCACAGGTGCCCTCCACATGAACCTCAGGAACGCCGAAGTTCAGTTCGGATCGCCGGGGTTTCCACGTGTCCTTGGGCGGTACCCGGCACCGACATGCACCGACCCTGGATCGCATGTCAAGCTATCATGGATTGGTAGATGGAAAATGGACACGAAGAGATGTCCAACACATCCTCAGATTGTCCTGATTTTGCTTGGAGATGTTGGAATGTGAAGGTCTATTCACCTCACCTACAACAGTTATGGCTGTGGGTCATGGCGGTAAAACCCCCGGAAGGTCCAGCTTCATGGTAAAACCAGGACTCCAGGTGTTGAATGGCTTTGACCCATCCCCAAATCTTGTTCCAAACAGTGGAGAATCCTATTTGAGGACACTTCATCCCTGTCCTGCGCCCTCCAAAACGTCTTTGGCTGTGCGATCTTGCAACAGCAAAAAGGTAGATCCACTTGAGGTGGGTCAGAATTAGCTATTGCCTCTCAGAATGAGCATGCGAGCATGCTGTTCTTGAGCACGCCCCTCGTTTCACCCTGCTCACCATTTGAAAGTCCAAAAAGCTCGGTTGGAAGCATGAGATCGCTTTGATCCAAATCAACTTGCATCCAACCACACCGTCTCCAGGCTTCACTCTCATTCACTCATGAAACCCAAAAGCATCCATCTCCATCCACAGCACCCACCACCGAACACAGACCTCGACATCCTCGAACACCGCGCGGAAGAAAAAGGGGCCACCCACCCTACAAGTCCCGTCTGACCCAGAAAAACCTGCTCCTGCAAAACCTCCTGTTTCGTCGTGTTCTTCTATGACCAACTCCAGGAGTTCATGTGGTCAGGAACCTGACCCCTTCGGCTGGGCCAAGTCACACCTTTGTAGGTCCAACCTTTCGGCTGCCGACGACACTGACATCCCTTGGTGGTGAAGCCCGTGTACATCGCCTGCGAGACACATGGACCCGAGACCTATCTCCAAACGGTGGACGGACCGTGACCAGGGCCGTTGAGTTCACGGAGCTCTTGGAAGTGCAAAGAGGAAGTGCATGTTGGGGGCTGGAAGTGCATGAAGAGTACACCCAAATGGTGTGGATCGGAAAGGAGATGCTTTCACCCAAGGGCTGAATTTGTCTCATTCTCTTGAAAATTGAGAGGTTCCCGGAGATTCCCCCATTCTACAAGGAACCAGAACATGCCATCAGGCCGCCCTCAGGTAAGCATCACCTGAGTTACCACGTGCAAAACCCACGGGAATGATGACTGGAGCAGGCTCTTCGGCTGGTCGAACCCAGATCCACAGTCAGACCTCCTCCAGCCGTCGACACAAACTTCCACTACCTACAGTACTACTTGCTCTAGACGGGTCTCCACGTCTACCCACTCATGTCTTTGCTTTTTACGTGACGTCCCTGGCTTCTCTGATACTTCTGTAGGCTTTTGGGTAAGCTGCGGGATCCTCTCCTACAAGCTTCTTCAGACAGCCCTCTCAAAATCATGAAGCCTTCTTGGGATAATCTTGAGATACATTTTGGGAAAGGCACCAATTTTATCGTATCCAATGATTATCAATTGTCCTATATAATTTCGCACCAACATGCTTGGATATTTGGGGATCGTTTTTCTCTGCGCTTGGCATAGTTTGGCCCAATTTCCTACTGGGCAGAACCATGCCAGACCAAGCAAATGTTTAGACTGGTCGATTTTCCTTCTTCCAGGGGCTCGTTGCCGGGGAGGTCTCCATATTCTTGAATGTGAGGACAGCTGCACTTCTCCACAAACACCGCTGCTTCACACACGACCTACGCCGCTTCCACTTCGTCTAAGAAACGCAATGGTCCACGAGGAGCCCTTCAATGCTAAAGGACTTGGGGCAGCTGCTCACCTGGGTAGCCAAAGCGAGGACGTGCTGCCCCAAGATCAGAGACGTTCTCCATGCTTCTCTATCCATCGACGTTGGTGTCGATGTGTCGATTCAATGAAGAACTACCTGGACTATCTAAGGTCTGTGACTGGAAATCCTGAATAGTAGTGGGCTGGATACCGGCCACCCTGTGCAGCGACAACTTCAGCAACCCATCAATTTCAGAAGTGGACATCTCCCCGCGGAACCGCATCGAATCTCCGGCAACCCAAAAAATCCGCCTCTAGACTGCCCTGTGATTCCTATAAAAGAGAACCCCAACAGTAAAACTGTTTTGGAATA